ATATGATGAAATCAGTTGCAACACGATTGAATTATTCAAACTTTCGTGAAACATTATCGTAAACTAAACACTCGCGTATATTTGTAATATCACGTGTATATGTGTAATTGGATGCCGCCCGTGAAACAATATCAGTCTTACACATCCTGATGAAGCGCCTCCATTCGGCTAGAAATTAGTCGGTGCCGAAACGGGACGAATACGTGAGAGTTTGGCCGTTAGTTTCGGCTACATAATGTTCGACATTTAAGTAGACTATAATAATATTTTGCAATCGTTACTTTGACGATGTTCAGACGACAAGAAGTATCAGAGCCTCGCAGCATGAACTAGAAAAATAATATCAAGCTGATTTTTACAATTCATTCGTTCACGTGATCAGAATCTCCTTCTATTTCTTTTATCTCTCCTTTTTCTTGTCTGCTTTCTTATTTCGAACTTTAATGTTGGTAGAATATTTGTAATTACTTCTTCTATCTTGAAGATGGTTGATACATTTTAGAATTTTGGATTGTAAGATCTCTATGTAATTTGTTACAAATATTAATAAATCGACCTCTATTTTTTTATGAAATGACGTACAATGTAAGACATTAATTTAATTCCAAACGTATGTTTCAAATAAAAACTTATTTAAAATTCTCTTAATGGTACAGGAAACTTATAAAATTATTCAAAAACATGATGATTAATTATGTTTTTGATATTTCCTTATCATAAAATGTAGATAGCGATGTTAACGTGAGAACAACACAAAAAATAAACGTATATTCTTGAAAATAAATCAAACAGCGACTACGATATCTAACACTCGATATTCGAAGCACCGATGTCATTATCTCGGTAAAATAAATTTTTGAAAAATATGTTTGAATTCGTTATCTGCACCTTTCGTCTCTTCGTATTGAATTACAAATATATTTTTCACAACGTATGAGAATCTATAACGTACTATGGAATCAAGTGTCCGTGTTAAAGTATATGAATTTATGAGTTGCGTTTTATTTTATTTTATTTATTTATTTATTTATTTATTTCATGTAACAGTAGGTAACACATATTGGAAAAATATTACAATTAGTTATTAGAAAAACAAATATTACGTCGGTAAATATACGACGTGTGCACGCACCCAGTGTCGCACTATCGGGCAGTCAGGCTTGTCGCTAAGGCCTCTTAGTTTTGTTACCATGGAAATAGAAACATTGCTTCATCAATTAAGTGGAGAAATATTATTTAAAGTTTTGTATACTTATGTTTTTATATCATATCGTGGCACATGAGTAAACGAGCACATAAATTCGTCGAAATAGCGAAGCGACCATTGCCCGTATACAGCCGCAATTGGTGATGCTTTTTCCTAATTTTACTTGACGGAGAAGGAGACACACGGAAAGATGTATGATGCGACCCCTTACAATGCGTTCCCCTCCTCCATCAAATCCACTTCAATATTAAGTTGGATTTATTAACACTATATTTGAATATTTACAGAAAAATCAAATATGCCTTATTAGCCTTAAATAAAAATCGTAAAATAATATAAAATATTTTTAAATCTTATAAGTTTAATTTAGAATCAGGTAAATAAAAAATAAATAGTAAAAGACTAGCTCTTTGACTTCGTATTCATCATTACTTTACTTTTGTAATCCGATTTGTTACCTACTTTCTTAAAACTTTATTGAATCTGAACGCACCTAAAAGGATTTATAGTCGAAGCAAGCAAAAGCTGGGGCTAGCAAAAAGTTTTTTTCTTTTTGAAACGCGAAGAAACAAGTAAGCCGGCCATCTAATATAGCGATAGCTATATTTAAAACATTTGCTACCTGCTTTTCTTATATTATTTATGTTACAATAGTTTTCCATTTTTAGCCAGAACCTTAAAAAAATAAAGTAATTTAAATTTTTAAAAAACTATAAAAGATGAACCGCAGTTATAATGAACGGAATATTCCAGATAAACTACGAAATCGTTCGACATATCGGAATGGAATATTTTAATATTATATTGGAGAACAGGTGTATGGTCTGACATATTTTTCATAAAATAAAAATGTTTATAACATGAATTTAGAAGAAGCGAGAGAGGTGTTTCAGGACCGCGCCAAATGTAGGTCAGTAATCTTTGCCTACCCCTGTGGGTTACGGGCGTGAGTTTTATAGATGTTGTTGTATCAATTAAAAATTGTAAAAAAACGCGCTGTTTTCAGCCTCCCCGTAAATACTTTAACAAGGTGCCAGCTCTAAATTGTTATTCCACTATATAATTATAACTAGCTGTCGCCCGCAACTACGTCCGCGCGGAATTAAAAAAATATACTTAATTTAGCCCATGTGCTTATTCAGTTTTTTCTAAGAGTATATATAACCACTTTTCGTATGAAAATTTTGGCAGTATCTTGCTGTAAAATATGGGTAATAATACGTCATAACAGCTTGTCCGTGACCTTGAAATTAATTAAACCAAAGCGGTGAAACGAGACCAAGATTATGTGTTTGTCCTTGACAAAGATCGTTCATTAACGTACGAAGCAATGTATTGCAAAATATTGAAGTAATAATGCACGTGCCAACGTTAAGTTGTAAACATACTGCTACTTTATAATTATTTAAAAAAAAACTTCTAACTCAACTAATTGACTGAATAATTTACAATTTAATGTTCACGGAATGTTACCACAAAGGTAATATAGTTCTCAATTCAAAAGAATTGAGCGCGACTGAATGCACCAATATGACACCCCGGGGATTTATACAAATTGAATGACACCTCAATCATCAGAAACGGTTCAGTCAATTCGCCTACAGAAAGCACAAGGGAATAGACATAACATATAAACATATACCACACACCAGCCAAAACATTTTTAAATAATACAAAGAAAAACAACTTATGCCTGTAACCCAGAGGGGTGCATGGACGACCGCGGACGAGAGCGAAAGCGTGCCCGTGGTCCCGTCCCGATGCGTTGGAGGAACAGAGGGGTTTAGTGGGTATGCCTCCGCTATGGAGGAGAATCCCACATAACTACCGCGTCACCCCCGGGGCGCGGAGTATGCATAAAGCATTCCCCTCTGAAAAAAAAAACAAAAAAGAGGAGTGCATGGACCTCAATTTGGCGTGGCCAAACGTTACCTCCGCAATCCACTTTTCGCCCTTACGGGAGACGGAACGAAGGGACGGGTGGTGTGCCGCGTCCCCGCCTTGTTTCCCGGAGATTCACACATATAGCGAGATTCGAATCCAAGAATGCAAATTACAAGTCAAGTGCATAACCCCTGAGCCACCGAAGCTCCTTGTTAAATAATAGTATGCCCATATTAAAATTTTATATATCAAAGGGGACAGTTCGTTTATAGTTTTCTTCACCTTGGAATGTTATATTGTACAATAATTTCATAACAAAATAACAGTATATAGATGCATTTTTATCGAGATTAACATTCAAGGCAATCAACGTTAACATATTTAAAGGCTGTCAAAAAAATGTATATTAAAACAATTGTATATGAACGTTTAATTAATAAGATTCAGTATTTTTGAGATTAAAAATAATACAAGTGATAAAGTTAAAAAAAGGTTTTTTTATTTTTTATTTTAATTAAACATTTATAGAAAGAAGTTGACAGTGTCTTCTGAATACTTCAAAGTTTTATCACTATCAATAGTTTTACGAATTTTATGTTATTTACAAACTAGAAAAATAATTGAAAATTATTTTCATTTAACTTTACTTGAACCATTTGATAATATTGTGGATGATTTGACCATTACTTTTAACTATAACTCAAATTTTTATAGCAACAATTTATTTTAATCGGGATTTCAATCGTATCTACAATGATTGACATTGTTCTCTGTCTGTATGAAGTCATAAAATAGTTGTAACTTGTAATTAAAATAATATAGATAGTCATTAAAACTAAGATGTTAACTCCATACAATTGTATAGAGGCAAAGGTTGAGAAAACAATAATTAAGTGGACCTCGTTTGAGTTGTATAATACGACTATAATAATATATCTAAGTTGGCCTTGTATTTGCTGCGCTTGTAGTGATTTTTTTAATTTTAATTTTTTCTTAATTTCATTAATTTAAATAAAAGCATGATAATTGTCTCGAATATGCTCTTTTGCGTTAATAGTTCAGATTTTTTTTATTTTCTTTTGCGATAATTTTATCGGTTGTTAAGAGTAAGTTGATAATGTCTCGATATTAGTTTGATGAATCCATACTTCCCATCTCTATTATTGTTAAAAAGCGAATAGGTTATAAACAGTAATTTATTTATAAATGTTGTACAAAAAAGCCTGCAGAGAAACCTATTTGTTTCCACATTGCATCAACAAAACAATTCCCGATAAATGTCCAATCAGCTCAGGACGTGACCGATAACGAAGCTGAAAGAAATACTGACGAATATAAATTCTAAAGTAAATTACTTCCTTTTTGTCTTCATTCGTATTTGATAAACGCAATTGAACAAGTATAAGGTAAACAAATCTTTATGAACCAATTTTGCAGATTCACATCTTGGGATCTATCGAATTTGTATTCGATTAACGTTGGTTGATCTACCTGCGGAGATTTTGAACAAAAAAAGCATATGACAGATATTTTTATCATCATCAACCTGCCCTTATCCCTATTAAGGGTCGGCACAGTATGTACTACTCCTCCATACATCCATATCAGGCGTCATATCCGAATCTACCCCCTTCCTACGCATATCCTCTTTCACACAGTAGCCACATACAATCTCATTACTTTTTTGCTTATATCATCATCCATCCGCATAACATGTCCAAACCACGCTAATTTTTAATGACAGATATTTTTATAATTACAAGAAATAAAAAAGATGCATAGAAAAAGTAGAATTTAATCAATGAAACACACAGACAAATTGTGTAATTTATCAGACCATACAACAACTATAAACCTACCGACTCATCAAAGTCACTTCTATGAGTAAAATGTAGGAAATAAAAAAGTATTTAAAATAGACGGATTTATTCTAAAACTAAATAACATACAAATACTTATGTAGGTATAGGAACGTTAATAAGTTCTTCGTAGGGAACGACCAGGAAGAACTTTTCTATTGTCTTTAACGCTAACTCTACAGCGTAGTCTACTATCGGTTTACCGAACTCTTCGGACACGGTCCGCCAATTTTCATTAAGGAATGACAGCACTGTGTTACCTGTGAACATAATAATTTTAGGTTTAGTCCTTTGCCAATAACAATATTAAAAATACAAATATTAGGAACAGGAGGGACATTTAGAAATAAATCTTACGCAAAAAAACTAGTCCTCGAAGAGTTTCGATTGCTTAGTTGATACTTGTGAGATATAGAGGAACTGTTAATTAATAATGCGAATGTTTGAATGGATGGATGGATGGATGTTTGTTTGAAGGTATCTCCAGAACGGCAGCATGGATCTCTTTGAAATTCATCATAGATGTAAAATATAAGCTGGAAGAACATATGGACTACAAAATAAGTTTTTTTTTTTTAATTTGGCACGGTTTTTTTTTAATTTGGCACGGTTAGTGTCGTGCGACAGCTAGTGTTTAAAGAAAACTGCTCTTAATTCGCTCTTTTATATTAATTTTTTTTTTCAGTATTCTTTTATGTATTATAATAAATTAAATAAAATTAAACAACGATAAATAAGAGTTTCTATTGTCTAAACAAATATCATCGCTTTAATTCCTTTTAAAAATACGATAAATGTAATTTAATTTGTGATTTTGGTTGAAACATGTAGTTGGAATTTATCACGAGACAAAATATAATACATAATATGGTAATAATATGATTATAAATAGTCATTCGTCACGTTATCTGCCATCTAAAGCCGGCAAAAAATAACTACAATATGTTATGTTACTTGTTCGCTAAACCTCTATAATTTATTATAGTTTTTATTTCGATGAACTTTGCTATTTTGGGTATTATATTAAGTTCTGGATTCTTCGTAAAACATAACCAGTTTGATTACCTCGTTCGCCGTGACATCTTAACGTCAAAGCTTGCGTAATTACAATATTAAATAATAGAATATATGATTCTTAACCATTTAAATTAAATTTAAACAAAAAGTTTCAATGTCATTGGATTAGTTCCACGCGAGCTTAAAAAATGTATTTTCAAATTTCTTCTATTAAATATAATAAATTATTTTATACTGATAACGAGTAACAGCTTCTATCAGTCAATTCCCCATTTTCATTTTCTTATTGAAATAGTAGAGCATAGAGAGAGAACTAAAGGGTCTCCTACACAACGTTCATTAGATAAAACGGAGATCTACTTTAGGTATGTCCTTTGTAAGGTCGTGGTATTTCACCGTTTGGATATATTTAGTGACGCAAACACATACATCACGTGGAATAAGAGCTTAATACTAGTTTAAAAATTTGCACACTCGATTGATACTCACTTAATTCTTTGCTTTCCTTGAAAAGATTTTGTAAATCAAATGTTACTTTGTCTCCATAATCAAATGTATATTTGTAGCTTTTGATAGCGAAATGATTAACACCTTTGTCGTCTTTTATATACTTTGTGTTTATGTCCAATTTCATTTTGAGGTTTGCTGAAAAAGAAATATATTTTTTAACTTAACATAACGTTTAGCTATCAAACGGGTTTTGTTTTCGTATAATACTGTATTGATATCAGAACTAAAGGTTTGTATAAAATTTCAGATTAATATATTAACAGAAATTTAATCTAATTATAGTTCAATAGGTTTGATCCAAATAAACTGATAAAAAAACCGTTTAAAAATAACCTTAACTTATCGTCGTATTAAACGTATTAAAATAATAATCATAAACAATTGATACTATTTGAGAACTTTATACTACTCTACAGAAAAACTTCACGATTAATTTTTCCTGTAATTTAGTTTTAAAATAAATTATATTTCCTGTCATGGTTTGGTAAGTTATCAAAGTAAACATCCTGTATTTGTGACAATTTTACGTTAAAAATATCACAGTCTTAAGTAATTTTCCGCAGGAGAAAAAAACTTACTTAATTTAATCTTGGCATCTCCCTCGCCGTTAATGGGAAACAAAAGCACCTTTCCTACGGCGTCGTAACCTCCTTTGATGGTCAAGTTACAGTGGAACTCTAAAACAAAGTGACGTTTCTCAAGCTCAGATCTGTAATCAAAGAAAAATTTTTGAGAGTTTTTTCTCATGTAAAGTTGAAAACAACTTACTTTATAATCCGAATAACAAAATTAATATTTAAATCTTGTTTTTTGCAAGTCTGTAAATGTTGTTTCTTAATCATCATCGGCTGAACTTCGCACTGAGGGGCTCGGAGCCTTCCCTAAGTTAGGGGTGACTAAGCCTTTTTCTATTGCGGCGTTAATTCTTTTGGAATTTTTATATTTCAATAGTATAACAGTTTGTAATATGCCGCGTAATATTAAAATACCAAATATGTTATTTTGTATTTTAATATTTGCATTAAAATGCACATCAAATTACAATATAATACTTTGATATTTTAAACGTATATTTCCGTATCGAATATTCTTGATTAATTATTTATTCATTTTCAAACTACATGAGTATCTACACGGCTAATATTTCAATTTTATTGTCTATTAAAATAAATTGAATTTGGCCATAAAGGTGAGTATAGACTAGAGCATTTCCTTGTAACAGATTATCGAGCAGGTTTTTAACATGTTCTATTATAAATGCATATTCTTGTAAACTTATAGCAATATTCATTTAACATCAATTAAACCGCGTAGTAACGCATTTGATAAATGTTTTTCGTCAGTAAATTAACATCGTGGTCATTCCACTCAAAACCTGTTATTAGCTTCAATTTTATGTTGCCAATGTCAAGGGGTTAATGATTTGTTTCGCATAGAGATGATGACTACACAAAAAACTGTCAAATCACAATAATAATTGCCTTTGTAAAATATGTTTATAAGTAATGCCTGAATCGTTCAACAAAAAAATAATAGTCGAGCCTACGTTCATGACTGGTTACTATAAGTTTGTAATACTGCGTCATTATAATCGATCTATTTGCAGCAAGATCACGGTCCAACACTAGGACTGTTTAGGATGTCCCTGCTTACGCTTATCTGGCTCCTTTTGCCACACTTTTCATTAATTTTTGATATAAATCTGTGCTGTGTGTATTTTTTTCTCTTGTACCTGTGCATAAATGTGTTTCTTTCTTTCTTACATAACTTAAGGACCTAAGACCGTATAGGCATGGGCCTTGGGCACGAAAAGGCAATAAAGTAGCATGCTTCTATTAATGTATTGTTAAAATAAACATACTTACATAACATTATCGACAATGCATTTTCTGAAGCCACTAACTTTTCCTTGGTAAAACGTGACCTTGAGACCGCTGAGCGGGATAGACAGTTTGTCTATTGTAAATGGGTCCAACGGAGGTACGCCTAGATGTGGAAGTCCTTTGACAAACTCTGGAATCGCATCCTGTGTTGCTTTTATTAAGCATTCGCTATTTGTATCATTACAAGGTCGAATGTAATCAGCTGAAATCAAATTGAAACGTGTTATAAAATGGTAGTAAAATGTTAAATCAGTTTAAAGTAATGTTTGGTGAAAAAAATATATATGTACATTTCGTTTCAGATACGCGTAGTCTAGTCTAGTGATTAAAATTTGTTTTAAACAGGAATTTTGGTCTCAGAAACACACGGTTAACCAGCATTACCATGTGCTAGTTATCAATTTCTACGTTTGTTAATCCATTGCATTCCTGGCAGGTAGTCTACAATCTTTGTTCGTGATTTATGTACCTATATACTACATAGGCTATTATGTTTTTAAACGTATACGTTGCACAACCCTGCACCTTGAAAGTGATTGGAGCACATCTGAATACCAGAGCACAATATCAACCTTGGTTCATTAAAAATAAAGTGTACGTAGTTTTGTGTACATAATTAAGGTAATAATTGTAGTAAAAACAAAAACGAATCATACTTTGTTTACTATTTTTAAAAACGTTCTAAATTTTATTCAGAGATTTTTTCTTTATCATTGCCTTCTGTTTCTTATTTTACCAATTGTTCGCATAAAATAAAAACTGCACATATTTTTTAAATTATTAAAAATAAATATAATTTGTAAAAAAAAACTTATTTCTCCAATACAATTCCACGTTTGTCGTATTGTTTGCTTTGTCCTCGACAATTAAATTCCCAGGATGGTTATGATATAATAATTATTCCTATCTTGATAAAAATTTATCTCACTTTGTACATAAAATTATATACAACGGTATATAAAAGTTTATAAAATAACCACACACCTATTATTTTACGAACACGATATCTTTGCGATTATAGTTCGGAAATTTATTAAAGCCCTTATTTATTTCCTTATAATCCTGACACGCTTCTATCGTATTTAGTTGCAATAATACTGTGACTGATCATTTCGTGTTACCTTTATCCTTTTTTATTAAAACAAACTAGCTGTCGTCCACGACTCTGTCCGCACGAAATTAAATACAAGCTTAATAAGTAGCCTATGTGTTATTCCAGACTATGATCCATTTCAAGTTCCGTTGAGCTTTTCCGGAGATACCTTCTAAAACATGCATTCATATAAACATTCGCATTTACAGTGTTCAGTAAAATTCGACCGCCAAAACTGCGACAAATCTATACTAATATTATAAAGCGGAAGCGTTTGTTTGTTTAAACTCGCTAATCTCAAGAACTACTGGTCTGATTTGAAAAATTCTTCTTTTGTTGGATAGTTCATTTATTGAGGAAGGCTTTAGGCTATATACTAACGCTGCGACCAATAGTGTTTTTTTAATTCCGCGCGGACGGAGTCGTGGGCGACTGGTAGTAAACCATATTTTTATTACTTTCTTCTTCAAATGTTTTTGTTCCTGTCTAAATTATTTATAACGACATAAATTAATCGATGGTAACTATAAGACTTACTATGAATCAGAAATAAATTCAGAATGCATTAAATATTTACCGATCTAAAAGTGGACAAAACTGGCTAAAAGCAAATAAAGTTGTTTTGGTCAAGGCCCTGAGGACATTGAAATCGTGCAACCATAAATTATTTGTTTTATAGCATGAAAAAGCAAACGAAAAAAAAACACCTGTATATATTCAGCGTCTGGTTTAATTAGGAGGATGAAGTAAGGTCGTAACGCCAAATTATTAAACTGGTACTTAGAAAATTATAGCATTACTCGTTGCAATAAAATGCAACCAAATTGATAATAGGTAAAGCAAAGTCAAAATAATATCTTGCCTTTAACTTTGTTTTACTTTTTTCATTGTCGACAAATATTAAGTTGAAGTCAAGTTTTTGCGTCTACTTTAATTTATTTTAATTTGGTGACGAACTATAGCGCTTTATTACGAAATTAATGTTCTGCGGACGGTTTGATTTTGCGCCTTGAATTGAGCAGATTCACTAGTTTTTGAAGAACGAAGTAATACGGTCAGCGCTTGTTAAATTATCAGTTATGTTACTAATATTAATGCGAAAGTTTAGATGGTTGGATAGATTGTTTAAAGGTATCTCCAGAAAGGATCTCGATTAAACTTGGCATGGATGTAGAACATATTCTGGAAGAACGCATAGGCTACTTATTAAGTTTTTGATAATTCCGCGTGGACATAGTCGCGGGCGATAGCTAATGTTGCAGTAAATTATAAAAGCAAAAAATATACACAAGTGTCTCAAGTTACAACTAAAAGGAGAGAATTAATTAACAAATTAGAACTTTTACCAGACACATTGCCTTGAGTCGTATTTTTAATGGTTTTTAAAATTTTTGAGTTACATCAATTCCATAAGGTTCCAAGGTGACATAAAAAACATTAATTTAATTTTTAAATAATCCTTAAAAAATTTATTTATTTTGATAGCTTTGATAGAGTAATTGATAATTATAATTTTGGATTGAAGTGTTTGAATTTTGACTTTAATATCTTCAAAATATCATTGAAATACTTATTCAGAATGTAAAAAAAAAACCCGAGAATAAGTATTTTTACCATTTTAATATAATTCGCTATTTACAAGAGATAAAATTTTATGTAAAATAATAGTTTTTGATTAAACTAAATAAAAATATTGAAATTTTATTATTATACTGAATATGTTTATTAAAAAAACAAAAAAAAACAAAAATGCCACTTACGTGCAAGTCTCGAATATGTTACACCGAATAAACTGCACAAGATACACAACAAAATGCCAGAAGATGTTTTCAAAATCATATTTGTTATGATAAATGTAATTGTGTGGATCAATTAACAGTAGTTTCAGTACTGCAACGGGCGTTAAGAATAACTGCCTTATATCTTCTAAACGGATAGATATCATTGGACCTTCGCTGCTGACATTGTAAGCCAACAACCGGTTCGAAGATTGGATCTTATTTATGTATCGTTTTTTTTCGATTACATGATATCTTATTCGATGTTTCAATCTATCACTAAGAACTACCGCTGTGATATACATACGTGTAATAGAAATTAGATTTAACTTTCAACCCCAAAGACTACAAATTTCAATGCAAACGTATCCGCAGATATCTAACAACTAATAACATCAATATAGTGTTAGGAAAGTAATCCAAGACTGTGCCGGTGTACTGGCACAACCCTAGTAACTAAAATGTCGACGTCTATGTCCCCTCACTAATCATTTTGACACTTGACTTTGCAATGTAAGCGCGCCATTCGCGCCAAAGGATTGTAATTAATAATGTCTAAAAATAGTGTGCATATAAATTGGGTTTTAAGGGCAAACGAGCAACGGGAACACCGAGGTGTTCATCGACGCCCTTGGACATCAGCAATACCAAAGGAACCGCAGATGCGTTGCCGGCCTGTTCAGTGCTTAACAAGATCATTTTAATTCTCATTTAAAGACTTCACTTATGCTTTTAATAATTTCGATAAGATTTAAAAAGTAAAAATACCACAAACAATTTTATCGCTATCGATCACGTCGAATATTATCATTTGTTACTTTGCTGTCCATTTAGCTTAGCATTCGATCGCCCAATCGGTAGTACAGAAAAAAGTAGCCAGTAACATCCCCACACGCATCATCTACCTTCCCGATAAAGTTCCGTCAAAACTAGCCTAGCATTTTGGAGACTTTCCAGAACAAACGCGAATATCTGGCAGAAAGACAGGCAGAATTTTTTAAAATTGTTTTTCGTTATAGGATAGGAAAGTACATAACGTACACGAAGCGTGTTTTTTTTTAGTTATATCGACACTTTAATTTTATTATATTTATAGATGGATAATAAATTTAAAACATAACAGCTTATATCATTTAAATGAAACGAGTAGTGATATAACCAAAAACAATGTTTACGGTTACATCATCTGTAACTAGTAAGAATAATATTTGAAAAGGATCAAGTTCATTTTTAAAAATCATTAATAAGCAACCAAATGTAAGGAAATTTATTCCTCAGATGAAGTAAAAAAATAACATTAGGTTAAAACATTTTTTGTTAAATCCCTAATGTTTTTATCTTTAATTACAGAGGCACTATTAATCAAAAATAAACATACTTTACGTAGAATCACATTAAGTGGAATGTTCACAAAGAAATGTAACAGCAGAATGTTTTGTGAAAGTGACAAACATTTTGTAAATCGTCTAAGAAAAAAGTTTGGAAACCGCTAGTATAAATGGATTGCGTGAAGTATCATAAACAAGAAAAGATTGACAAATTGGTAAGGTGACGAATAGAAGAGAATGTAGTACACTTAGTGAATATCACCATCAGGACAATATACTTCTCCACTGACGGACTTTAATCCTCCTCTAAGTTAGAGTTGACAAGGCCATAGTCCACCACTTCGCCCCAGTGCGAATCGACTTCTCAAATAGCTTCGAAGTTCTTCACACATATTTACAGTTTTCATCACGATGTTTTCCTTCACTGTAAGAACGTCGGATAAATGTATATATGTAAATCACAAATCGAAAAACACATTGGATAATGGCGGGATTTAAACCCAGGACATGCAGATTACAAGTCAAGTGCTTAACTCCTGAGCCATCGATGATCTCTTAGATCTCCTAGCTCTTGGTGATTATAGATATTAAGTAAATAATCGTGAATGGTGATATAATTGGTGATTTAATAAAAATCCAAGGTTTCTGCTTTAAATTAATATGGAAATTGATTCAGTGCAATGAATCTTTATTACATGAATAACCTAAAGAATATGCCTTTAACTTTGACCTTTTTAAAAGCTAACATCATGTTTTGTTTTTTTTCTTCGAATAAAAACATTAAAACATAATGTTACTTCTAGTTCTTTATCTTAGAAGCAAATATTTTAATTATTTATATTGCTTCTGAAACAAGCAAGTCATATAAAATTCCAAAATACAAATTGAATGATACTTCTTCATAATCTGAAAACTGTTTATGCATTGAATTTAACTGGACTGATCGTATTTTGTGCCTATTTGATTTTCGATGTTATTACGTCAGTGATAGTAGAAATATTAAAAATTCTCAGTAGTCATAAAATTAGCTGGCAGTAACTTCCATTTATGCTTTTAAGTCGGAACGAAGCCAAAGTTGTCATCTGATACTCATAATTACTTCTAACGTGTATGTGAATCGTACTTCGGCTGTCTTCAACAAGTATGAGATATTAACGGATTTCTCGGTGCAACAACTAATGTCAAACAGCGATCTGCCTAGCGCAGGGGTCAGGGTGTTTAGGCTACAAGAGACCACAATGAAGGTGAGAAGGGGAAACCTAAGAGTGAATATTGTTGTAAGTAATATCAAACTTTATGACGTTCTCACCAAATATTTTCATAATGGAGCCAGCACAATCACTAACTATATATTATTTTTTTACCGAATTGTATAATATAATAATTAAAAAATAATTATTAAAAATATGAATATTCCTCCATCAAAAAATTAACCTCTAATATAAGAATTGTTTCAATTGTTTAATAAAACAGAATAAATTATGGTACGAAAAAGCGAGGACATTTATCGTTACGTAATTCTTATAAAACAAAAATTCTTACTATTTTTACCAATATTATAAATGCGAATGTTTAGATGGATGGATGTTGGTTTGAAGGTACCTCCAGAATGACTGCAGAGATCTCGATGAAATTTGACATAGAGATAGAGCATAGTCTGGATAAACATAATATCTAGTAATTATTTAATGATAGGGTAATTTTTTAATTCCACGCGGACGGAGTAGCGAGCGACAGCTGGAATAAATTTTTTTATTCACGTATTATATTACTCCATATCTTAATAGAAGTAATATATTGGTTTAAATATTAAAACTTGAAAGCAGTCTATAATATGGATGTTAGTAATTTAAATTAACAAAAACACTGTTAATCTATAATAAATTTCATTTGTTGTAAAAATTAAAAACATTTTATTAATTATACTAAATCTTAAAATAATAATTCTTGAAATTAAAGATACAAAATTAAAACAAATACATAGAATATAAATTCACATTTAACAATACAGAAAGATTTTATAAAATAAAATATTTGCAATTACTATCGATCATGGATCGAGGAATGGAGCAATGCGCGTCAACCTTAAATCTAAATTATAATACTTAAAATTATTACTTGATTAATAATATGAATAACTAATCTTTTTACACGTTAAAATCTCTTTAAAATTAATCTCAGTAAACTTAATTTGAGTATTATATATTTTTTTATAGTTGGTTAGTTGTTTTATAAAACATATACAATTAAAAGTTAACACTCTAAAGTATCATTAATGATTATAATTCAAATAATATTTAAATTCTATAGCTTCTTTTTCGGCATCATTATGATAAGTAATTAGGTATCAGGTGGGTTTATTTATTAAAATGTTTTATGATTAATATTTAGGTATTGGTACGTATAATAATTCGTCATAAGGTACTGCATCAAAGAATTTCTTCGCTGTTTCTATGGTAACATTCATTGCGTAGTCCACAACAGGTTGTCCAAACTCTTCGGTAACTACTCTCCAATTCTCGTTAAGAAATCTCAATACTGTATTACCTGAAATATTAATTAAAAAGATTAATAATAACGCAATGGGGGTGACCAAAATAACAAGAACGGAATTCTAAATATCTTTATAAAAATTTAATTGAGGCAATTAAATACAAATCAAATTAAAACTGACAACCATTAGAGTAATGATCGATTGAATACCCCTCTCTCTCCCTCCCTATTTTGCATCCCACAAGGTGGTGGGGCCAGTTTCGTCACAAAGATCGATTGAAGACCAAATTATTTTAATTGATTAAAAGCGAATTTATTTAAAAAAGATCACACATTACTTTGTTAAATCCATTAACGAAATTACTAAGGAAATTTCTATTATCTTATCGTATTTTTGTAATAAAAACCTTAATGTAATTTAAATAAATTTAACTCACTTAATTCAGCATTTCCTTTGAATAGATTGCTTATAGTATAATGAATCCTTTCTCCGTAATCGAAAGTGTATCTGTAGCTTTTAATTCCAAAATGATCCCGTCCATCAGCATCTTTGAAATACTTTGTTTTTATGTTCATTTTTATGACGGAGTTTACTGCAATTTGAACATTAAATCAAGCTATATAAAAACTGTAATGTCGTAAATTAGCGTTCACATTTCAGATAATTTTTAGATATTTTATCTCTTATTGAAAATCATGTATAAATTAACAATTGAATGCTAAGCGCCTAGCGTTTTTGGTTCCGCAATTCTTTAAGATTATGATTTAGAGTCAAATAAATTTTTATATTATTTTAGTTATTGGAATATTATTTCAAAGTTCAAATGTCATGTTATTTATACGTTCATAAGATTTAAAGATGTTGCAGTCTTAACTTTTAACATAACATGTTAAGCTCATGTCAAGAGCTCCCGTTAATGCTGGGAGTCTTGACTTAAAATATTTTAGCATAACATTGTGGTAGGGAACCGTAGGCAAATTTTATTAGAAAACTCTATATGACCTACCTATTTTTATTTTGGAGTCACCTTCTCCGTTTATTGGAAACAATAATAATCTCCCCACAGCTGTATATTTGCCTTTTATTGTTATGTTGCATCGAACTTCCAGGATGAATACATTTTTTTCAAGATATGCCCTGTAAAAAATATTAAAAATGTGTTTGGATGGATGGATGGATGGATGGATGGATGGATGGTTGAATGAATGGCTGTTTGTTAGAAGATGTAGCTCCAGAACCGTTCAGGATGCCGAAAACATTTGGGATAGATAAAGAACATAGCCTGGAAGATATAGGGCTACTTATAAAGTTTTTTTTACGCGCAGATCCATTAAATATTTTCTCAAAACAAAATTATGGGATCACACAAATGTGATTTACCATGATCTTATATTTTAATTAACATTACTTCATTGTTAATTACACTCAATTAAACTAGGCAAATATATCATTAAATAATGATTTTAATTTTCTTTAAAATCTTTGTTAGTTGTATTGTTTTTTTTTTTTTTATTTCATATTGAAAAAGGGTTATTGACGATAACATAATAGCTTTTTTTTTAAATATAGCAATATTTGTGGGTCATCGGTTACAAAATTGCCCCAGAAGGTGTAAAATTTTTAAGTTTTAAAAAAATGCTATTTATTTTTTTTTAATACCCAGAGAGGAATTTTTATTTTATTTTTCTGGTGACCCTTGTGACCACCCCTATCATCCCCCTTCCTATGTACGTAACCTTTTGGGACACCCGGTATAACTGGCGTTCATAATAAGATGAGGCAAAAAATTAAATGATAATTAAAAATTTGTCCAAACTCTACTTACTCAACGTTCAACACTTGACATTTCCTCAAACCCGTTACTTTTCCATCCAAGAATGTTACCTTGACTCCAGGCAACTGTATTGGTAGGTTGTCGATAATGAAGGGATCTAGAGACGGCACTCCGAGATATGGTATCCCTTTAGAGAATTCTGGAATAGCGTCTTGCGTTGCTTTGACGAGGCATTCTGACTCAGTACTGTTGCACGGGTGAATGTAATCCGCTGTAAAATGAAATAAAAACTAATTAACATTCCTCATACACGAAGAGCGACAAACAATAAAACTTAATAATGCGACTGTGTGAAATAATTATCTGATAGTAGATGCATTTTCATAAGAAATTAAAAGGCCTTGACCAAATTATAAGTCATACATAGTGCATGTATCTTTAAATGAACAATTCTTGTATATATACAAAAGGAATCTCGGAATGGGCTCCAAAGATTTTCATAAAATTTAGTATATAGGCGGTTTCGGGGGCGATAAATCGATCTAGATAGGAATCATTTTTAGAAAATGTCATTTTATTCTTGTTTTATCGATAATCAACTTAGACATAAACTTAACTTTTTCTATTGGTAAGATCGAAAAATATTATTCATATTTCATCATTTTATTAGTAATTCGTACTTAAATATTATTTTCAATCATCATCATCAGCTCACTATACGTCCCCACCGAGGGGCTCGGAGCCTACCCTAAGTTAAGGGTGATTAGGCCATAAGTGCGGGTTGGTTGACTTCACACATATCTTTGAATTGATTCGCAGATATATGCAGGTTGCATCACGATGTTTTCCTTCACCGTAAGAACGTCGGATAAATGTACATATGTAAATCGGATATCGAAAAACACATTGGTACATGGCGGGATTCGAACCCAAGACCTGCAGATTGCAAGTCAAGTGCTTGACCACTGAGCCACCGACGCTCTCAATTTTCTATTCTATAATTTCTCTCTATTTTCAATAAACACAATAAAAAAAATACCGAGCAAAGCTCGGTCATCCAGGTGCTAGGTTTTTAAAGATAAACATCTAAACTAGACGCAACCTCCAAGAAGGCTAGAAATAAACACTTGCTCTAAAGACGGACCCCCGACGGGTCCGAAACTAGTTGGTGCCGTAACCGGACAATAATACGAGAGTTAAGCCGTTACCAATTAAATTAATATGATGTTACGAAGTTTAAACAATTTGATATTTACTATGTTCCTTACTTATTTTACTGTTTTATTGTACAGCATTGTGTTATTGTCTTTATCACATTAACTAAAGCCTGTTTCACACGAGGGTAGTGCGACAGCTGGCTCGTGTGTGAAACAAGTATGAACACATTACAAGGCAGTAAGTCAGTCATTACCTAGTGTTCGCCAGTTGGGCAATAATAAACGGATATTTCGAGACGTTAACACACGCAATGCGCTTAAGGTGTATCATTCGTTCCATTTCGTTTTAACACTTTCAGTATATGTATTCATAAGTATCGCAAATATTTGAAAAGAGCCTTAAAGATTAAATAAAACAAGTTAAATAGTGTTCTAATCCTAATCACTCCTCGTATCATTTATTTTCTTTTAATTTTAAATCTTATAATTAAAATATTCCTTTTTTAAACATTTCAAAGAGGAAAGATTTGAATGTTTATTTGAATTGAATTGACTCTGAAATTACTGAACTGATTTGAAAATTCACGATTGAAAAACTGCACTATCCGCAGATAACACTAGTTTTTTTTAAGTTCCGATGAAATCGCGGGCAACTGCTATACTCATATCTTTATAGTAAATGGAAACATACGAACAAACGGTCACTTGTTTTCGCTATTTTAGCGAAAACAAGTACTGAATATATTGTTATATCTTGTATGTGATATAAGCTATGACAGATATAGTCTTAAGTTTCAACTGTACACTTAAAACGTTAAGTTGAAGTACATAGCGGCGGACTTGACCTGGATAAGTTACTGCATGTTTATATGCCAATGTGAAACTACTTAAGTTATGCGACGCGACGTGATGGTGTGTTTTTGAAATGAGTTTTGACTGTAGTGAAACTTGTTTTGACTTACTGTCCCTTACATTATCTTTGAGAAAAACAGAGACAACAGTCTATGTCATAAGAAGTCACAGCTGTTGGGACCCGCAGTATTAAAAGGCTTTAAATGTATTTTAATTTTAACATCATCTTAGTTCAAGTTGTGTTGTTATTTTTTAAACTTCTACATGTTATTGTTTATGTTATAGTTAAAATTAACCACAACGAAAACTTTAACCGGTGATTTGATGCATCTCTAAACCGATTTTACCCGAGTGACCGAGTCATTTTTTTTCTTCATGTCATGTCCCTCAAGATAATATATTATGCATATCTTATTAATATTGTAAATCCGTCTGAAATAAATAAATTAAAATTAAACAAACTTGAGTCATACTGCCCCTTAAATAACATAACTCAGAAAACATTAAATATGGAGTAAAATGTAGGTAAACTTTGCGGAACCGATTGTGTCGGTTCAACAAGTTCTTTGACTTAAGTGAACTGTGCTCTGTCCTACTGTGATAACCAAAAGTAAACAATGTACTACAATGTACTACATGCATGCATTGTACTTATAAATCTAGAAAAGCGGAACGGATCTTGATAAAATTTGGCATACATATATAACATAGCTTAGAAGAACACATAGGCTACTAATTAAGTTTTATTTTTTTAATTTCGCACGAACGGAGTCGCTGGTGTCAGCTAACCAGCTTCGTATAGCCGTACTAGAATGCATTGGTATACATATATCTTATCTCATAAATATTATAAATGCGAATATTTGAATGCATGCATGCATGGATGTTTGTTAGAAGGTGTCTAGAACGTCTGCATGGATCTCGATAAAAATTATTATATAAGTAGAACATAGTATGAAAGAACACTTAGGATACCTATGATACCAGAAAAGTGGACAGTTTCCGAGGGATAAGTTTGCTTACATATTTACTTGATAAGTCTGCAACGGGTCAATACTCATTTTATTTCAATTTGGTACATATAAAGAACAACATAAAAGAGTAGCATATAAGATACTTTTTCCCCTTTTGTAAATTCTACGTATATAAAGTTGCAAAAAAGAATTACTCTTATGTCAGTCGCGTAAGATAAACGAGACTGCATACTTATAACGATAAAATACTGTGAGATCGTAACCATCGAAAAATAATTAACTTAAAAACCTACATGTTACATTTTTTCCAATGTTTTGTATAAATAGAAAACTTACGCGCAAGAAGTGCCGTAGAGGAACTGACAAAGGCCGCAACTACCGTAAAAAAACTAACAAAAACATGTTTATTACACATCTCGATCACCGCACACTAAACGTAGTAGACTAGAAGAAAAATATAAATTTAATGAAAACAATGCAGCGGTCTATTGAAGACCGACGGGCACACTGCCGTTGTGACCTTCGTCTTTGCTAGTTTCGTATTTCTTATGTAAATCGAAACGGGTTCTTTCTCATTTTCGGTTGCACAAATTCAGTTAGCTCTTTGCCAACTTAACCAAGTACTAACGCGAAACCACAAGATAGTGCGTTCTAAAAATGTGTTTGCATCGCGCACGCCACACTGCGTATGTTTACAGGTAGCAGCGTGTAAGCAAAATCGGTCTAAGCGATTGCAAATAAAAACTTAAGACACATATTGGCAATCGCAGAACTATATCGGGAAAAATCAGTTACGACTCAACAGATACTAGTGCGAGGATTCGGAGCTATTACTGTAAAACTAAAGTCATCAAAATCAATAATAAGTGTTTTTTTGCATTGTAAACTAAATTACTTGTTATGAATGAAAATTAGACTGTAAAATAAAAATGAATGGATGCTATAATTGTCTTGCAGATATTTTAATGATAATTTTAATAAATTTATATTTATGTTTTAAAATTAATAGATGTAGATTAAGATTGTTCTGTTAGTTGATGCAGGATGGTACCAAATGGAAATGTTTAATATCAGTATATTTAACAGTGGTAGAGCCCGCTTTAACATCTTCGGACGAATTGGCCCGGTGAAATACCACGACCACACAGAAGACAGGCGTCAAGCGGAAGCAATTCCGCGTACCGTCTGATGAGTGTGTGTCCCGGAGGCCTAATGTAGTCCTCTTTCCCTTCCTACCCTTTTTTTATTTGGACAGGATAGGAAGTGGAAGTGGTTTTTTCGGATGATAGGATGCAAGGGAAGAGAAAATATTTTCTTTGTGAGCATCCTCTCCTCCGTCGATTAAAGGTAGGCAACGAATATGCAATTGCCTATGTCTATGAGCAACGGTCACTTCGCTATTTCAACGATTTCAGGTGGCCGCTCGCTCGTTTGCCACCTAATGATATAAAAAATCTACTTATTCCCATGTAGTACAATAGTGACTTGTATGTATTATGTTGTAATACAGTGTATAGTTTGAGGTCATGACATGTGAAGCGTAGCCAAGCAAATCGGACACAACGCATATTTGTGTACGTCCTCTGAATAACACTTCCCCTGTTAAAATAATCCTACTGATAAAATACAAAAAGATATTGTTATCTCTATTTTTTGGGCATCAAGTAACTTGTTGTTGTTAACTTTAAATAACTTAATATTATTACTTGTTACAAACAACGGCAGAGGAATGTCAATGTGCATTTGAAATTGCACATTAAAATTTATTCAGAAAAATTATAATTTAACCATTTTTTTATAAAGATTTATCAAAAGTACGAATTTTGTTCGATTAAATTTCCTCAATTTTTCTCTGTCGTTCATCGAAGTCCGCGTTTGGCCCACTTTCCCTGATTCACTATTTCAACACGAGCTAGAACTTGTTTGTTAAGTAATAAATTCAATCATACTCAACGCGTTTTAATACAAAACGTATATTTATAGATTGAACTTTTCAACCTTCGTACTATTCCTAAATTTCCTCTGTCCAAGAAAATATGTGTGTCCTTGTACGAGGGAATTGAAACATGTTTATGATTTTTCATTAATATTATAATATTTTATAATTTATTAACAAAAGTTATTAAAAAAAAATAACCTTAATGTGGTAACGGATACCAGTCAAAACTACCTAAAGAATGCATAAACATAAATATATAATTCTGTAATGAGTCGTTAATTGACTTAAATTTGATTGTAGTAATTATTTTGTGTATTTTATAGATTTAAGGGTGTAAATTGCGTCAATAAACTGCTTTGTCAGTTTAGTGAAATTATTCATTATAATAAAATTTTGTATAATACATAAAAAGTAAATAAATAAATTAATCAAATAATTTCATTAACAAAAAGCAATAACACAATTTAAAGTTTACATATACTTAGATAGAATAAAAAAATAAAGCACCTGCTGTTTTGCTCATCAAAATTGCAAGTAAAAAATTGCTAAAATAAAACGGACGGCAATTTCCGTAATTTCTTGTACCATGTTTGAAATGGGGAAAAAGTGCGTTTTACCCACTATAGCGGCATTAGTATTAAATATACTACCAAAAAAACAATCTATTTTAAATACAAAGTACTCTGTCGACTGTACCAAAGAAAAGCAAGCTAACAAAGAAAAACTAGTTATTATAACTTAATTAAAGTTGTTTATTTTGAAACACCGGAACCGAGTGAGCTATAAACATGTTTTTCTAAATACTATATCTGATTTTACGTTACTTCATTCGCTCATACTTTTTATTCTACAATTCTGAAGACTTTTCCGGACCAAGGATGCAATTATTTTACATTGGTTGAGTTCTATACAGAATTAACTCTTTATTCTCAATTACCTTCCGTTTCAAGTACTTCAAATTACACGATTTCATCAAACAAGCGAGAAATTTAACATGAATATATTTCAATGCCAAAAATATTCCGAATAAGTGAATTCGTAAAGACTTTAAAAACTTCTTAATTTGATAATACAAAACCTGTTCCTGGTCTCTGAAACAATTTGCATAAAAAAAACATAATTACAAATACATATAATTATATAGCAATTTATAATAAAAAATTCCATGTTTTTATAAAGTTCTGGTCGGCTCAAATACAGATGTACAATAACTTATCAGACAACATGCGTAAAACACATTTATTCTTTGTCTAATGTATGCTATCAGGTAACCAACTGTAGCTCTCTATCCTTTTCTAATTATATGTAAAAGAACGGTGACCATGCGCTAGACGCGTACATGATCACCGACTTCACTACTGCTGTGTAAATCGTCCTGATTACCTCTGGGTTTAACCCCCACTGGACTTTTGCCGTTCTTGAGAGCTGGACGTACAGGCTCTGCGCTTTTTTGCAGACATTGTCTACATGCGCATTAAAAGTGAGCCTGTCGTCCAGCGTAAGTCCAAGGATCTTGATCTCTTTGGAGAGCTCAATGTCACCCCCGCCCATGCGCAAGAGTGGGGTGCCGTACTTAAGCCTCTTCGTTATCACCATGGCTTTCGTCTTCGATGGTGCGAAGTTTAGCTTATTTACAACACCCCACCTATGCACACGCGCGAGGGTTTCATTGGCCCGCCTTTGGGGGTCATGAGCGTTGTCTCCCGAGAAAATCAGGACGACGTCGTCTGCGAAGGCTTGGCAATAATCGCCCGCTTTTTCCAATTCCTTCAGAAGGGGGTCCAACAGCAGATTCCACAGGGTAGGACCTCCGATCGAGCCCTGGACGCACCCCTTTGATGTCTTCTTGACCCATTCCGTTCCGGCATACCTGACACGAACCATTCTGCTACTAAGGTAACTATCCATGATTCGCCTCAGGTACACGGGGCAGATGGCCTCGGCCAGACTGCATTGGATGGCAGGCCACCACGCGTAATCGAAGGCGCCCTCTATGTCAAGCGACACAAGCACCATGAACTTCTTGTCAGAGAGTCCATCGCGAATGTGTCGCATCATGTCATAGAGGGCGTCTTTGGTACTACCCTGCGGCATGAAACCATACTGTCTGGGGCTTATCCAAGGTAAGATGTGCCACCGAAATCTTGCTATTATCATTTTTTCTAAAATCTTTCCTAAATTTGCCAACAATCCTATTGGCCGCAGGGACTTGGGTTTGGTGTAATCTGTTTTTCCGGGTTTTCTTAAAATGATGACTATGGCCTCCTTCCACATTGTCGGGAAGTGTGCGAGTTTGAGGCATTTGTTGGCTATCGTTAAATACATTTCTGGGCTATGGGCTATTGCTACGTTGCAAATGTCGGCTGGGCCTGCGTGGTTGACTATAGACTAGTCACCCCTAACCAAACACGTTAGCTGCCATGTCGGACTATATGTCCGACAAGCTAATGTTTCAATCAGGCCGGGTCGGACTATGTGTCCGACAAGCAATTCCGCTCAACACCTCGCTGTGGCTTGTCGGACGCTTTTTAATCGAATTGTTGTATACAGCGTGACCCGCAAGGCCCCATAAAGCTTATAAACAGCGGATCAATTTTTTTATAATAGTTTGTCGAAAAATCATTCTGGCAGCTAACTTGTTAAGGTAGGCTTCGAGCACCTCAGTGGGAGCGTATAGTGAGCTGATGAGATCAGCATCTGAGGCGCCAAAGCCGTGAGTGGACCTGGTCAAGAAAATTTTTTCACACCATTCTACTTACGGTTTTTTGCGTCTAGCTCTTAACGGCGAAGTAATAGATAATAGGGCTCATAAACTTTCTGTTCATTGTAATACATGTACCTACTTACATTTTTATGTTGGATATATCTAGGATTCCCTCCATTTTGTGATTTCCATGTGACCTTCAAGTACCGTTAAATTACAGTAATTAAGCGTAATATGAACTGTGACATTATCAATAAGTGGGATGTGATTACTTTGATAGATTTTATATCATGACGTACTTACCATAATAGTAATTCTTACCTAGTTTTATTGTAGTTTATTTTACCTTTGATATGTGAAGTAATAAGCCATGCAACAAAGTAACGTATTTAGATTCAATTTTCAACCGTATTTTAGACACAATATATCTTACTAATATTATAAATGCGAGTATTTAGATTTATTGATGTATGTTTGTTTGAAAGTATCTCTAGAACGGGTGCATAGATATCGCTGAAATTTGGCATAGACATAGAACATAGTCTAGAAGAACACATAGGCTGGTTACTTTTTTTTTAATTCCACGCGGACGGATTCGCGGGCGACAGCTGTAGACAATACGATGTATTTTGTTTCACTACGGCCAGGTGAATTTCATTTATTTTGTTATATTTTAAATCCAACAAACAAAAAATATTGTTATAAAAATCCTAGATCAACAAACTAAATGTAATAAAATTTTCACAGTAGATTTTATTGTTATAATACACTAGTTGCCCGCGACTCCATCCGCGCGGAATTAATAAAACACAATGAGTAGCCTGTGTTCTAGACTAGGCTATGCTATGACAAATGTCATCGAGATCCATGCAGTCGTTTCGGAGATACCTTCAAACAAACATCCATCCTTCCATCTAAACATTCACATTAGTAAGTTACTAAAAAGTAAAAAGTAAAGTAATATACATTGGTAGTTTTTCAGTAAGGAAATAAAAGTTGACCTCAAAACAAGACTTGCTTTGAATTTTATAATTATTAATATATGTGTATACAATTAATGTGTAATTGTGCTTCAACATAGACATTATAAATATATATCAGACATCGCACGTTGTTAGATTATTATTTTGCAAGACTTGTGATGCAAACATGTCTTCAAACGCGATCAAATTCACCTTTGGCGTTTTATTAATCTGCTTTACTTTGGATTTAAGTAATTCTGCATTTAGTAAGTAATATTTAATTAATTATTTGTTTTATAATACTAATCATAAAGAAGATATTAATTTATTATACGTAAAAAATTCTATGTATTCTTCCAAACTTTACTCGATATGGATGCCAAATTTCATCGAGATCCGATCAGGTGTTCTGGAGATGTCTTCAAACAAACATCCATCTATCAATCTATCTAAACATTCGCATTTATAACATTATAAGAAATATCATCATTATTTTTTCAGTCGATACATTGTCGAAATGCGGTATCAAAGACAATAATTGTCAAAGGAAGCTTTTTAAAAGTGCGCTTCAACAAATTGGAAAAACTGGTATACCGGAAGTAAACATACCTCCGATCGATCCTATTCAAATTCAGGGTGTGTCAGTTGTGATCTTGAATTTGGTTAACATCACATTAATCGACGGAGTTGTAAAGGGCATAAAGGATTGTGAATTTACCAGATTCGAGTTAGTATTACTTTATTTATATCATTTATTCATGATGTGGTTACTAACTTAATGGTGGCTTGAAGCTAATAAACCATTCAAGGTTTTTTATACTGACATACTAAATAGTTTTATTCTCCTTTATTGATTTTGGTACAAGCCTGCGACTCCGTCTGCGCGAAAACAAAAAAAAAATTATTAGAAACTTGTGTGTGATTATGTTCTATATCTATGCCAAATTTCATCAAGACCGGTTCAAATATATATGTTTAAAAAATTACAATTTATCATTTCACCTAATATAGAAACAATTCATTATATTTTAAATGATCTCTAAATTTACAGCTTTGATATTGAAAAGGGAAGAGGTAGTCAAGAATTACAATGTGATATAACAATCAAGGGGCACTATAGTGTAGTGGCTACATCTCCGGAAATCGGAGCTGTTCTCGGAGGATCGGAAATAGTAGGAGATGGCAACGGAAAAGTTAAAATAGGTATATTTTTTTCTTTTTATTTCATGAATACATGCAATTCTAACAGTGATAGTGGCCAGTAGCATTTAAAAATTATTTCATAAATAGAATCACAAAATTGTTAATCGTAAAATCTTATCGGCCTAATAAATTAATAACATTTTTCTAAGGTCTTTTAAATTTTACAAAATATTTACGTACCTTTCGTTTAAAACATGTTAAGAGTACGCGTTGTAAAACTAAACTATTTTGTTTTTAACTTACGTAACCTTTTGCAAACTACAATATTCGGTACTTAGTAAACGGATAATCTGGCTTAAGCATCTACCGTTTCGCATATAACTTAATCACCAAAGAACTATGACTGGTAGCATTAAAAACATCAATTACTTGTTACATTGTAATAATAATTGTTAAGATATATGATCTGGAAACTTGTGTTATGGCAATAAAATAATTAACTAGTTTGCCAACCAATGACAATTTTGTAGTTAATGATAATTATAGTACCTACAATATAATTGGTCTTTGTTTTAATTTCTACTAACAACTTAATAAGTTATGGTTGATAACTAATATTTTCAGAACTGTAAAACTTCATAACTTTTTGGTATTGCGATAGAATTCTTTGCCTAATAAGTACTGGGTTTTGTTTAATATTTAATATGTTTTATTGTTAATTTTTTTTTCAGACAAACTTGTTCTCGCATTTGACTATCCAGTACACGTATATAAAAAGGATGACGGTGAAATTTATATTAAATGCGACTACAATAAAACAGCAGAAAAATTCGATATTTTAGGCAAGGTTACATTTGCTGCTGACAACCTTTATCTAGGCAAAGAGAACGTCAGTAAGTATAGAATACTACAATACAGTTATTTTCAATCAACTTGATTGATTTAAAACGAACAATTTGAGTTATAACATTTGTTAGCAATACATGGAAGAATAAAACTAGCTGTTGCCCGCGACTCCGTCCGCGCAGTGTTTAAAAAAAAAGTAGCCCTTGTGTGCCAAATTTTGTCAAAAACCGTTTAGCCGTTCCTGAGATATTTTCTAACAAACATCCATCTATCAAACCATCCTAGATGGAAACTTTCGCATTTATAATATTAGTAAGATTTGTTATAAGTTTTAGATATTTATTAATTACAAACCTTTGGCGCCAAGGCGCGCTTACATTGCAAAGTCAAGTGTCAGAATGATTAGTGAAAGGACATAGATGTCGACATTTCAGTAAGGCTAGTGTTGTGCCAGTACACCGGCACAGTGTCGGATTTTCTTCCTAACATAAGTCACTATAAATTGTTAATACTTTTATTACTATTACAGGCGAGTTCGCTGTTAATTACCTGAATAATAACTGGAAATTTATATTCAAAACCTTTGGACGAGTATTCATTGATAAGGCGACCGAGTTTTACAATCGATTTGAAAAGAATTTCTTTGATTCGGTTCCAGCGAAGCATTACATTTCTGATGACCTGACACCTTACTTGTGAGATTCATAAGTTTAAAAACATTAGCAAAATAATAATGTTATAATTTTATTAGATATTTGAATAATAAACGAAAATGTATCCCATTTTATTGACATTTTTATTTTGTTTTCCATACAAATAGTTTTTAAGTGGTTATTTTGAAAAAAACTATAATAGATAGATATATTATGGACTTTCATTTAGCAAGTTTAAAGAGCTACAATTCGTTCATACATTATTTTTATGTAGGTCCTATAGTTTAGCCTACGTAAGTGAAGAAAGCAAAAAAGTCCTAAATTTTCGTAACGCATTTTCAACTTAAACTCAAAATCTACTAAACTTCCAGTCAGTTTAAAAATTAATATAAAAATGGGACCCACCTGCAAGCAAAACCTTTCGATCACAAAAAAAAATTCAAAATCAGAGCACCGGGGGCGGAATAACGCGGTAACACACATAAAAAGAAACATAAAGACGAATTGAAAAAGGGAATCGTACAGCGAATGCATTTAAAAGTTACGGTATGCGTTCATTGTTTAATTTTTTATTAAATAAAAATTTATTTCAAACTTCTTGTCTACATCTGAATAAGTAAAAAAAATTGCCGGTACAACAATAATTAAATAATCTTAAGGTAATGTGTTTTTTCACTTATAACTTAATATTCAAGGTTTTTATTGTATACAAGGTGCTGATGTTTTTTTTTTAATCCTTGCTACTTAATCCGTTATTAAGTACATATGATTTCATATAAATGTGCTGAATGCAGCTTACTTCGAATTAAATCACGAAAGGTTCCATCAAAAACCAACATCATGAATTTAGTTAAAGAGTGCTTCTTATTTTTGGCTGCAACTTCAATCTTCTTATGTGAATCTGCATTCGGTAAGTTAAATTCATTTAAATTAAGACACTTTTGGTTATAGAAATTCTTCTTCCTCCCTGGCCTTATCCCACTTATGTGGGATCGACGCACTGCTGGTTACAGAAATATTAATTTTTATTTAAATACTCAATAATGTGAATGTGTAGGAACCCAGAAAGGTATGCTTGTACCGTCAAATAGAGGTCTGTGGACTCTGCCTACCTCTTTAAATTAAGGATTTAAGTTGTGTTGTATTTGTCCTTTAATTTAGTGTTAGAATTAAGAAGTTAAGTCCATACGATAGATATAGAAATATTTCTTTTAATTTTATTGATGTTCCAAATAATCTATGCTTTAAATCTCTCTGTCATGATTTACTTAACAAAAATCTTTACATGTTTATTGCTCATAAGGGTTTTTCCAAGAGTTTATATTTATTTTATTCCGTAACATTATTTGTAACTGAGATCTAACCAATTTTGAAACATAAGTTTCGAGGATCGTATTCATTGCTGGAGTGTTCACGGTATTTTTTTATTATTTTCAATCTACCAAAGTGATGTAACGAAATCTTTTTTAAATATTTCAGTGGATACTTTACAAAAATGTAGCATAAAAGACAATGAATGTTCGAAGAATTTTTATCAAACACTAATTGAAACATTAGCGGAGAAAGGGGCAACAGATATTGGTGTAGAGAAAATTGATCCGATGGAATTGAAAGATGTCCATGTATCTATTCTGGATCTTTTAAACTTGACTTTAGCTGAAGGCAACGTGGTTGGAATTAAGACTTGTACTATTAAAAGTTTCAAGTAAGTCCATACTGATAATTTTGAAAATATAGTAAGTAGCCTCATCCTCGACCAAGTCATAGACACAATGGAACAAATATCAAGACATACTTTATCGAAGTTTCAGAGTATTTATCTTAGTGTTATATACCGATGGAAGAATGCCATAATGATTTTTTTTTGTACTTTATGTATAAAACTTAATAATTATTATAAATGTTTTTAGGATCGATATAGAAAATAGAAATGCGAAAGTGAAAGTTTTTTGTAAACACCTCGAGGTCCAGGGTAACTACCAAGTTGATCTCACCAGTTCGCTATTGAATGTACAGGGAATTGGTGACAAGTTGCATGGAGCAGGACATGCTAAAGTCATCGTAGGTACGTTATCAGTAAAAAAATATTTAAGACTAGCTGTTCCCTGCGACTCCGTCTGCGTGGAATGAAAGAAAATTTAATTAGTACATGAGTTAATTTAAAAAATCATTAATTCATATTTTATTTCGACAGATAAAATTGAAGCTCGAATTGACTTTCCTTACATTTTGGAGAAACAAGACAATGATGTATATTTAAAAATTCAAAAGGAGTTGCCATACAGTTTCAAAGTTTTAGGAAAGGCAACTTTTGTAGCGGATAATCTTATTGATGGTGACGCTAAAGCTAGTAAGTTTTTTCCTATAACATTTCTAAAGTATTTAGTGTTGATGAAGACTTAATACAAACTTTGTCGTACTGCGAAATAATTATTAAATCTATATATATGAAATTTTGTTGTTGAATCTTATATAAATAATAATTTTGTCAATAAATCAATGATTTCCCTCTGTCTTAAATGACACAAACCTGATGATTTGCTATTTTTTTTGAGCAGGGGGAATATACGAAAAAGGGCAGAATATGATAGTAAAAGGGATTTGTCTGTTAACATTATTTCTATATTTTGGTAACTGATAAATATTTATTTTCAGGTAATGACATAATAAAGTATATGAATGATCATTGGAAAGTGATTTTGGATACATTTGGAAAAGTTTTCTTTGATAAAACCATAGAATTCGTACAACTATTCAGCAGTAAAGTTTTCGACAAAGTACCAACAAAATATTACATAATTGAAGATTTGTCTACTTATGTCAAGTGAAAATAATTATTATTTTAATTGCTACCTCCTTAAATTTGCAAGATATTGTTATACTGGTGGTAATAAGGTAAAATATATAATAAAATACTTTAATGAGTTTACAATATGTTATTTTTAATTGTTTTTTGTGATACCTATTTTAACAATTTAATATTATTTAAACAAGTCTGCACCAAAAAAAACCTGGGACGACCGATGGGCCGCTCCAGGTCAAGTCTTAGAGTGGGCATCACTGGCGCAGGACGGAGATAAGCTCTTCTACTATTACTGTCGAAGTCTAAGGCCCTCTTTGGATGCGCAATTGTTGATCTCCCTCAGGATATTAAGCTTTTGGTTCTATTCGATTTTGTATCACTATGAAATATTTTCTATTTTTTAAATCAATTAATTAAAAACAAATCCCTCGTATATACTCAAGTTTAGGTTAAATATTATTAAAACTCTGACGCAACAGTGTGTAACAACTAAACAAGATGATCAACATTAAAACGGACATGATTATAATTTTTTCTGCAAAATATGCAAATTACCCAAAGTAATTATTGCTGTATCTTCATTAAAAATGTAATCTAAATATCGTAACCAATAAAACCTCTTTCAAGATCTCTCAATACCCACGACCTTTTGCAATGATTTAAATCCCAGTAATTTAATTCAACAGACTGCGAGCCTTCAGTAATTAATAGGATATTAATTCCATCATTAATTAGGAGGGTTATTTAGACCTCATTACCTCCTTTATGTTAAAAGATACTCCTTTGTAAAGACTTATTCAGCGGTGGGTTTACACAAAAACAGACCCAAGACTAATTGAACGTAAACCATTAACCCTGATTAACACTGGACTAAATTGATACTAGATGTCAGACATCGTAGACGTTTTGAACAACTTTTTATTTTTTACTTACATTATTTATTTTTACTATGAATTTTTTTAAATACTTTCTTGAGTATATTTTTTACTATATTAATTTAAACTAGTATTACTTCGTATTACAACACATATTAATTTATCGTAAACATCACTTTACATTTATTAATAGCAATGTTTTTTGTGCGTCTGACCTTTTCGCACTCCCAAGGTCTACATAGTTTCTGTACCCAAAACTCTTTAAATATAAAACAGTTTTATCTTCCTTCCCACTTTTGCACTATGATTTAATTTTTTACATTGCGAGACATTGCAATTATAAAGTACCAGGCGCTCCGATAACACTTTCATAATCTTTTTAGTAGTTATGCGATAACAGATGGCGTTGTTGTAGATTTTACATCAACTACATTTACACGAAATTAAATATTAAAATAGGTACATAATTTCGGAATAGATAGTAATGTAAAAGAATAAAAAAATAATGATAATTTATTGTAAAATATTACATTATTTCATAAAAAAATATTTACATATTTTACTGGTTTCCAAAGCGTCGACATGTTTATTATTTGTTCATAAATGGCGCTAAATTTGTAACATTATTTTTTAATATTTTTTTTCTCAGTTTAAATAATTATTAAGCCTTTAAAATTATATTTAGGTAAATTAATCTAAACCATTTTCATTTATGAATGTCGTCCTATTTTATTTAACATTCTAAGCGACGCTAGATGGCGCTGCTTCGAAAAAAAGCGCACTATCGTTTGTCGTCTTGAATCAGCATAACTGCTACTTGGTTTAAAGATCGGCAGGAAAACATCGTGAGACCTGCAAAGGTCCTGGGTTCGAATTCTAGCTTTTTTTGAAGTAACATTGCACACTTGTTGTGCTGTTGCCATTATCCAATTGACTTTACATAATTCAACTTGCTTACTATGTTAGAATTTCGATTATGTCACCACTCTTAACCTCTCAGTTTCGCTGATATGTTGCAAGTCTGACCTTTTACATTACATTAATTTATCAATGTTTAATGTTTTACCAGGATTTTTTTTATAGGTACAAAAAATAATATTTTGTAGTTTTTCTAATATTCACATCTTTATGATTAAAAACACAATAGAAGCAGATTTTGCGATAACATTGCAAAAGGCTCAGTGTTTTTATATTCAAGTGGGGTTAGACGGATTTATTTTGGGATGCAATATAGCGGCATTGGGTCGTGCTCCTTTGTGAAAATCCTCGTCCCTCGAAAATCGCATGTATTATTAAATTTTATATTAGGGTTATTTTATTTAGTAGCTGTTCTGTGTTTCCATACAAGTTGTTTTTGAGGTAAAAAAAGTGAATCGTTTCGGTAACGGCGTTAGGGTAGGGTAAGGTGGGGCATCCGCGTAGGGTGACGGGCATAAGGGGCATCGCAGGCGCCCCTTAATATATCTGACTATTTCGGGAAACCGTATACAAATATTAGTTTGAATGATTACAAGAAATATAAGTAAACAACAAATACTTTCCTAATGTAAAAAATAAATTTGTTTTACTTGTCATGTCCTGGTTTTTCCGAGAAATCAAAATGTACCACGATCCATCTTTGATCGAAAAAATTGTGAAACAGACATTTTCATCCTTAACAAGTTCAGTTATTTCGAATATTATAATACAAGTCTAAGTCAAGTCTATTAATATTGTAAATGCGAATCTTTAGATGGATAGATGTTTGTTAGACGGTATCCCCAGAACGGCTGCGTGGATCTCGATAGAATTTTTAAAAAAGAAAATTAAGTTACATATAAAGCACTTAATGCTCACGTTCACAGCATGGTGTAGATATCAGAATCACTATACGCGAACGTTAATCATCAAGATTAATGGCCTAAAGTCACATCCGTTCCTTAATGACTTCCAAAAGATAAATCCTTCACTGTAAATAACTTGTTTTAACCTTATCTTAATTTTTGTTTTAAAAAAGATTTACGCTATTTTTTTGCTATTTTTTTTCCTTTTGTAAAATACATCTTACTAATATTATACGAAAGTTCAGATTATGGATCCATCCAAGGTTGTTCATTAGAAGGTATTTCCAGAACAACTCAAGAGATCTCGATGAAATTTGGCATAGATGTAGGACATAGTCGGGAGGAACATATAGATTATAAATTAAGTTTTTTTATTCCGCGCGGACAGAGTCCCGGGCGATACCGAGACTAAACATAAATCATTAGACATCTATCAAATTATCTTAGTTTCCAAATAACTTTCCTTATCATTTTTTTTCAAAGGTTAGTAAAATAGTGCCAAAGAAAAAAACTGTAGATATTATGTAAAATTTTCATACAAGCTATTCTTGTGTTAGGGGACATCCCGAGCTGTAAACAAGATTAATTACTCCTTATAATGAATAAAGTAATGAATTCTGTGGCAAAGATTAATGATACGACTATAATTTTTTTTTCATTAATAATGATATGAACTATACGCTGTTCCAAACTTAGAAAAAGTCTGCAAACAATGTACACTTTTCATTATTAAATGATAATCATTTATATTTAAGTTTGATATTTATGGTAAATTTTCTCACATTACTTTTTTATTTATGAGGTAACAATCTTCATAATTTTACGGAAACTAAAAGTGTAATATTTCAATAATTTCTTAAATAAATCTTCAATTAAACGTTGAAGAGGAATTGCTATTAAATTTAGGCTGGTACCGTAGTTTAAACATAGTTTTAAAATTGGAATTCGATATTAAAATTTTTGGGTCAACATTTCAGTTAAACATATGATTAGCAAAATACTGGCACTAAATTATATATCCGTCCATCCATATATCCATCCAGGTTAAATATAATTCGTAAATAGCAATCTTAAACGGTAGTGTCGAGTAAGAACATCTCAAAATAGTATGGACGGAGTAATTAATGTTTAAGTACACATAGTAAAGTTTTTATCACTTTAGACTGTAGACTTTCATTTTAAATTTAAATTTAATTCCTCATTATCGTTGTGTTTAACAAGCTCTGCTATAAGTGGGCCAACCAGATTAATTATCTCTTTAGACGAGTACCAGTAAAATGCGGTAAAAACATTTATATAAGCGAGATAAAGACAAAAGTAGCAAATGTTAATTGAGTTAAAAAGAAAATGAGGGAAATCAACATATTCTGTTCAGTACTACTAGCTGTCGCACGCGTCCCTGTCCGCAAGGAATTGAAAAATAACTTAATTAGTAGCATAAGCGTTCTTCAAAACTGTGCTCTACATCTATTCCAAACTTCAGCAAGATCCATACAGCCGTTCTGGAGATACACAAACAAACATCCATCCAAACATTCGTATTTATAATATTAGTAATATTATACGTATATTAAAAGCAATGTCATTACAGTTTGCCCTTAGAAAAATAGTCTTTTCAACTAAGATATAAACTCACAGTTCATTTGTTCGTGAAGATTTATGGCACCGGAAAAACTAGACGACAGCGCTGCGATGTCAGCCAGTTGACATATTAAGTGCTCCGAGGTTTTACTATGATTGAATTAAATTATTGAATAACGTTTTTATATATTATAAGGTATTAAACGAATAAACGGCCACCTGAATTCGTCGAAGCAGCGAAACAAACATGAATTATAAAATCTTTACTATTCCGTTGCATGTAAAAAAGTATTTTATGTTCAACACTTCGAACATAACGAACATATATTTATAATCTTATCAACAGTATCCAGATGTTTAGAATTAAGTTATAATTAAACATGTTTATCGTTATGAATGTGTAGTAAACTACATACACACAAAAGGCCTGAACTAAAAATTTAGTCCATGACTAATGTAAAATTGAATTTTTTTTAAAAACTTATTCAGTTTGCTGACATTGAGTTTTATTTCTGGATATTTCTGGTTGGACCGCGGTTGTAAATCTTCACGACAAATGACCGACCAACTAAGTCAGAATTAAGTCAACGTTTTTATTGGCGGGAAGAACTCTTAGGGTAGTTACAAATGAGATGTTCGGTGTCATCCGTTGGCAAATACTAAGGGTGTTTATTTTTAGGGTTCCGTTTTTTCCTTTCGAGGTACGGAACCCTAAAAATAAACACCCTTAGTATGTGACCCTTATAGGACCACTTTGTTGTCCGTCCGTCTGTCTGTCTATCAAGACTTTTTTTTATTAATTTGACAACACGAGTTATCGTACATATATTAGTTTATTTTATTTTAC